CTCGTTCTTTCAGTGTTGCCAGCAGAGTTAGAATACATAGCCGAGACTTCAGAGAGTGGAGAAAGAGCAGAAGAATGAATTCTCTGTGCCTCCTCCTGGACTAACATCGAATACGCAAGGTTCACAGAAGGTAATGGCTGCAGAAGCAAGATTTGACTCCGTACAGCAGCGTAAGTCTCATTGAGGCCTATAAGAAACTGGAACAATTTCTGCTGTGTGTAATGCGTAATCGTGCGTTGAGAAAGAACACAATCGCAAGGGGAGATTGGGGCCAAGGCTTCATACTCATCCCAAAGTAACTTCAATCGAGTAAAATAAGCTGAAATTGAAGAGTCACCTTGAGTTAGAAGCGCAATTTCACGGTGAAGGAAGAAAGATCTGGAACCATCAACCTTAGCAAATCTTTCCTTCAGATCTTGCCAAACCGAAGCGGCACTGGATGCGAAAACAATCCCAGCCGAAAGCTCCTTGCTGACTGTATTGAGGATCCAGGATAAGACGAGAGCATTGCATCTCTCCCATTGTGGATGAAACGACTCATCAAAATCATCTCTTCTACAATCACCGGTGACAAAACCGAGCTTGTTTTTTGCAAGCAGGGCGATCTTCATGGACCGACTCCATATTCCATAGTTTTCGATACCGAGAAGCTGATGCGAAACAAGAAGGAAGCCAGGCGCATCGGAGGCATGCAAGAAAAGCGGGTGATTGAAATCAATGGTGGAGGTTTCCATCGCTGCAACAGAGGAAGAAAGGGAGAAAAGAAAAACCTAAATCAATTTTGACTAAAAGAAAGAGAGTCACGGGAAGTAATCTGACTCATGATACCATGTTAAAAGGTAATTTTACAGAAAAGGTGCTTTTATTCTCTTATTATTGTTATTATGATTTACAAAACTAAGGCCTATATATACACATCCATCATCAGTTATCTAACAAACTAACAAATTAATAACTGCCTAACAAACTAAATAACTGAAATCTAACAAATAACATGCAGGTTCCCGATTTGGCCATACGCGAAGCTGATATTCACATGCTGGTTGGTGCTGCCTCACTTCAATGGCGCAGCCTACGTTTATCGTCGCTTCATTAGGCCATTTTACATGAACCCTCAACGCGCCACCAGTACATTGTGGTATGTCCCTCGAAAGAAGAGTATTTTCAGCCAGCAGGATGACATTCTAACTGCTGCCGAGAGGTACATCGAGGAGCATGGCACTCACGAATTTGAAAGGCTTATAACCAAGGTAGCATTAACTCATCTTTATATATTAACACACGTGGTTTGGTTATAAAAGTATTAACAGCTTAATGAGTTTAAAATGTTATTTGTAGGCTGAGAAGGAAGAGAGGGTACGACGCAGCAACAATTACATGATCTTTGATGATGATTACAGATACTGATCTCTTCCTTAGTTTATCGACTTTCTCAAATGCGGATCTTCTTCTATTTGTTTTGTTTTGTATGATCAGTGTTTGGTAAACTAATATTTTTACAACACTAATCTGGGAGATAATTAATATAATATTTTATAATGGTGAAATACAATACTAGCTGACGGCTGACATTCTTCCATCGAGGCAGAATGCCTGCCGGTTCAACTCCAGCAGGCGTTCCCCCAATAACAACCAACCTGTTGTCTGCTAGATTCCCGAAATTGCCAAATCCAAGTGCTAGTCCTCCCTCTTTCACGTAATTACCAAGGCAAGGCCCTGTATTTATGGCTGAAAGTACAAGTTTAAAGATTCTTAATGGAAGCCATTTTCAGCGCCAAATTTGCTGCAATAATTTCGTGAGAAAATGAATTTGTTGATATGAAGGTTGAAGATATTTTTTCTTAAATACGGTGACTGTTGTTTCGTGAATTAAGTGTTTTGCAATTGGAGCAAGTATACTCATCGTAAGTTATAGTATAAAAAGATAGTCTACACATGGATTGTTGAATATAAAAAGAAAGTCTACACATGGATTGTTGAAACTTTGAATTCTAACTTCTTGAACTGTATAGAAAATAAAATTAGTGATAATATGAGTTTGAATAATAAGTAAAATAAATGAACAAATAAATAAAAGTATATTGTGATCGAATAAGAGAGCAATTCGGGTTATCGTGAGTTGCGGTGTGATAACTGTATGGATAGTCTAGGTAACTTATTGCCGAGGCAACTCGATTACCTTACAACTTAAAATGATTCAATTGCCTCAGCAATTGGGTTCTTCCCTTCAAAGCTCGGTGAATTCTTGTTATCCCTAACTTAAAGAACTGGTCACTTGTGTATGCGTTGGTAATACATCTATGTGTTAATCATGAGTGAACAACAACCGATCTTGTACTCCTTTTGGCCATTGAAATTCAAATCTTATCCCTAAGATGAATTAACCTTCACCAACATTTCATTTGAATGAAGATCATGCTCATTCGTTTATTGAATCTTATTCTCCCGATATTAGATAAATGGATAAATTTCAAGATTCTCTCTCAATTCACTCAAAATCAATTAAAGAATCAAGAATGAACAAACTTTGAACTTAAAAGTCAATCAATAACTTAAACAAATCCAAACGTTTTCACAACTACAAAACCCCAATAATCCAAATCAATTTAGTTTAGTTCATGGTTGGGTGCAAAAGAAATACCAAATAAAAATTTCCCAACATGAATCAAGAAGAAAAGAAGAAGAAAACGTTTAGTCTTTCTCTATCTAGTCGGCCCTCTTCTTGTATGTCTTCTCTTCTCTTTTATAGGAGATACGTTCGTTCCTTTGATTTTTGTTGGAGGAGAGTTTTAATTTGAATAAAAGAGCTATTAATTTTCTCTTATCTTTAAATTTCTTTGTGAACAAAACTTTTCTCTTCTTTAAACTTTGCGAGTAAATCCAATCTTTTAGGTTTTATCCCTTGCTTTATCTTAGATAAGGTGTATTTATTCAACATTATCCGACCTAAAATAACACACATCTTTTCTACAAAAAGGAGTAAAATATAATATCAACTCTGTAGTGAAGGACAATTCTGTAGTTGTGCATGAAATACCAATAATGCAAATAAATTGAACTTGAATTTAGCAAAATTTATGGGTAAAAGGGTAGGAAAATTAATACTTTTATACACTTCACAAATGTTACAACGTTAAAAGTCATGCGGGTCATCTAGTGTCATTGGAAAGATCCACTAAAGACACACCAACTTCCTTCATCAGCTCTTGTATTTGTCTTCTTTATCTTCCTAAACTCCATGAAAAATATGTGGGATCTTTCACGCGTCTTCATAAAAACATCAAATGCTTCGTATATCTTTCATACGAAATTGGGATCTTGGGCTGGCAAGGGGTGCAATCAATGTCATTAATAGTCCAAATAGAAACTATGGATCAGGTTTGTATGCCATGGAGCAGAGCTTGGTCCAACCTTGTTAGTCCAAACTGGATGCTGCATATTGACGGCATTCCTTTTATTGGCCGACCACTCTGAGTCTCTCGGCACCATATATATATATATATATATATTCGGCATGATAAATTTGTTGAAAGCTTGATTGCAATTTCTAATAAAAATTCTAATGCATTTAATAAATTTCAAGCAACAACAATTTGGTGGGGGAATTGGTTTAGGATATTCGGAAACGGATGACAAGGTAGAGCCACGAACCTAACAACAGTGTGAGAGAGGTTCTAGACAAGCAAAAAGGGAGATGGACAAAAACAAGCAAAATCCAGCCTGTTTACCACCACGCCTACTCTCCTCCTTTCTGGCTACCTGATTTCGACTACTCAACCAACCACTTCTTCTTCTTTCTTTTACTGCTAATTCATTGTTAATCTACAATTCTATATAAATTAAAGTCTAATCAATTAGTATTTTCTTTATAAACAATCATAATTCTAAACATGTATCAAATAATTTTAATAAACTATTATGATTTAATTCTTATAGAACCTATAAAATTAGTAATTAAATTATATTTCATCAATAGTAAAAGCTTATAATTTAATCTATATCACAAAATAGTTTACGATCCCGTCGTTGAATATATATAAAACTTGAAAAGAGTAATATTTTTTTTAAAAGAGAAACGGAAGTAATCTAGGACAAGTATAAGGTAATATATGTTTAATGATAACTCATAACCATTTGATATCTAACGCTCACATCTTTAATATTTTTAATATTTATCCTAGAGGTTTTAAAGAATAATAATAATTCATTTATAGTTACTTAATTCGCAAGAAACTTCTAAAAAGACCGAAGTGGAGAATGGGACATTTTGATGCGTGTTTTGTGTGGCAGATGCCAACTTGTGCTGCCCTTCTTTCTTTGTTTATGATCCACGTAATTGCTGTAGCTCTGGCCCATTTCCTTTTCTTTTTCTTCTCCTTTTACAATTATTTCCAATAATGCAATGGGGTTTTTTACATCTATTTCCCAATAATGCAATGGATTTTTTTAATCATACTGCACACGGGCCAATAAATAATTAGTTTTTGGACTGTTTTCGATTTTTTTTATTAAACTTTTTCGTGGAAAAAAGTGACAGACTCCAGTCAAAGAGGAGAGAGGATTGTTGTAGGATCTCAGAACCGTTCACCAATGACCTTGGCTGGCGAGTAACATATGGTGGACCATTAACGAACAAAAACCTTACTACCCAAAGACAAAAGAATCCTTATCAACCTTCTACGAGTAGGCGATTATTAAAATTGATGGACGGATTATAATTGGTTTCGAGACACGTGTAATTTTATTCTTAAATATTTTTTTTTATTTGAAATTTAAAGGTTAATATTAGTTACATAAGTTGGGCCATCTATGAAAATAATAAAGGATCATGGGGGAGTTCGTGATATTTTCAAAGAGAGAGGGCTCCAAAATGAATTAACCCAAAAACTTAAAAGCCTTCATTTTTTCAAATTTGCCCACACACTCCCCAGCTTTTCCCGTTTCTCTAATTGTTGATCCTACCATAACTTTCATCTTAGTGATTTTGTCTGGCCGTAATACTACATGAACAGTTGAGACTGTAACAAAGTATGGTAATTAGCAGCCTCGTCTTCAAGCTCCCATAGTCCATCCCACAATGCAAAACCATTTCCTCCATTATGGAAACCTTCATCGAACTCAACGCTGAGAACGCTTTGTTTGTTCGGAATCCCTAGCTCATCATCAGAAGCTTCGAGCAAACGCCTAATGACTTGCTCTTTATCATCGTACCGGTAACCCTCGTCTCGTTTCAGGGAAGAAGTCGCCGTCTTGTGGCCTTCTATGCTGAGCATGCAGTCGCTGTTAGTCATGGCGGCAGGGTTCTCTTGGTCATCGGCTTTTGAGGGCGGTTGGTATGGAGGGAAAGGGGCGTCTTCCGAAGAGAGCTGTTGCTGTAAAGAGGTGATGAGAGAAGAAACGTCATGGCTTGGCTCCTCCTCTTCTGTTTCGAACAAAGATAGTACATGATGGTATGATTTGTGGCGTTTGGTCTCCTCAAATAGTTCTTCGTTTGAGCTCTGGGTTTCTTCTCTTTGGCGCTTTGGAGGCATCTGCTCAGCCATTACTGCAGAAAAGTTTGGACTGGAGCAGATGATATTGTGAAGGTAAAAGAGAGGACGAGGAGAGAGATGGAGGGTGGAAAGGGATTATATAGAAGGGAGGGGAAATGGTGTTGCGGTCAAAATCAAAGTAAAGAATATCTTTTTAATAAACTAAATAATAAAACTGACATAAGACAGATGGAGGATTACTATTGCCTCTGCATCAATTACTCTCCCTTCATTCTAAACCGTTGAATTGATGTTTCGGAGTTCGCAAGTTTACTGTCAAAGATTTAAAAATCAAGGTATGTAACATAACATCAGCCTGAAAAACAAAGCGGCAAAAGTTTAAACATAAAACACAAGTGGAGCTGAGCGTTTAGTACACAGCATTTATATTATGTGTGTATATATATATATTTAAATATAACCTTTTAACATATACTTGTAAAATGATTGAAAATAAAACAAACACACACATATGGAAGTGTGTATATTTTGTTGCTCCAATTATATATATATAATAATCGTGATATACTAAAATCTATTTGAGCGTATAATTTCTACATCAACTCAACAAGTGTTAGTACGAGTAGTTTAGATTTAAAATTTAAGCTTGTAAGGTCAAGTTTGAATCTTACTACCATCACTCTTATGATGAACAATCTATAAATTCCTATGTAGACTCTAATCGAATCTTAAGTATGCTCTGATTCTAAACGTAACTAATCACCTTACCTAAACTTTTGAATACTTTAGAAGGGATGAAACACGTACATATATGGTAAAAATAAATATCATCGGGCAAAGCAATTGGCTAACCTAACCATAGGTAGAGTATGAATTGTTTTTTTTATTAATATGTGATAAGTATAAGGTCGTATCTATTTAAAAATAATTCTTAATTATTTGATATTAAACGCTCACACCCTTAATATATTTGTTGTTTGAACTCAAGATTTCAAGAAATAACAATAACTTTTTTAGCACCGAGATCACTTGGTTGGGTAGAATATGAAAATTAAATTTCTTTAAAGGGAAGTCATATATAAAACAAAGGAATCCACCCATCTTTTGTTATTCCTCAAGATATAGGAAACTTCCCAACGCATCATATATAAAACAAAGGAATCCACCCATCTTTTGTTATTCCTCAAGATATAGGAAACTTCTAACATCGTAAATCACGTTTACCAAAGATTCCTAGAGAAAATTAATAATAATTATATATATAGCCAAAAAAATTAATATATATCTCTTATTGACTACGGATTTAATTATCAAATAAATATTTTTTAGTGCGACATTAAAAGAAAATATAAACATACACACAATTAATTGGTGAGACATTAAAAGAAAATTGAAACCTAATTTTCTTTGAGATCTCAACTGCCAAAAAAGTTAGATATACTTGGCTTATCTATTAAAATACTCCATTGTTTAGAGTTAGTTACATTGTAATTTAAAATAATTTAGTTGTTTCATTTTAACTTATGATTGATCTCCATAATAAATTGGGGTATATCTTTTAGACTTCTTTCTAAGAAGATTATATACACGATGTGTATGAATTTTTCTAAACAAAAGATAGGCATGAATTAAGTAGTTTTCGTGGTAAATGAATTGTTGTTATTCGTCGAGGACTCGAGTTTGAGCATCATAGATACTAGAGATGTGAGTGTTTACTGTCGAAGGGTTGAGAATTATCTTTGAACAGATACTTACCCTATATTTATCATTGAGATTTGAATCTAAATCACATGTGTTGTTCATTTTAACTTAATAAAATATCTATTAAAAATTGCTAACTTACATTTAAAAATAAAGCATTACTTATAGTAATAGTTTTATGTTTAAGCGATAGTTGACTATTAACTTCATTGCATTTACAAAATTAAAAGCAATTTATTCCATATAATACCTTTTTTAATAGTCAATGTAATAACTTGAAATGTACAAAAACGGTGTGCTAATATATCCTTTAATGCCTTCATGTTAGGGCGGGGATTCCTGTACCATCTAAATTAAAGATCTCTTGGTCTAATTTTAGTGCTCGTCCCTATATTAATTTGCTATTCGAGATTAATCCTTCCTATATATATTTTTGTATCTTTGTAAAAGAAATTGCAAGAAACACTAACTTGTTGACAGCATTTCTATGCTTTTTTTAATTGAAATTTATCTTTTAAAAAATATTAATCTATATTATGTGTTAATTCAAAAAATATTTTATAAGAATATTTAAGAGGGGGAAGTTGCAACTAATTGTATAATGAAAACACATCCCGCAGTGGATGCTGCACTGTCTTTGATAATGCAGAGATCTCCGTTCATTATTTTTTTCCTTCAAAGTTTCGTCTCGATAAATTTGGACTGACCTAGGTCATACATTTATTTTTGGTGGGGAGTATGCATACACAAAGACTCAAAATTGAGACCTCATTTAAATGATATCAAACTACTTACCACTTGATAAATATCCGTTCATTATTTTAACATCCTAAATATTTATCGGCTTGACTAAAAAAAAGGGAGCACTTGTGATAATAATCATCAAGTTGTGATTTAAGTAAAATATTTTTACAATTTTCAATGTCTATTTTATAAAAAATAATCGATAACTTTTTTTAAAAGAATATTTTTCAAAATCAAACAAATCCTAAAAAGTATTTTAGAGAAAACATTGATTTACTTGAGAACTTGCTTGATGATAGAGACATCCAACTGTATTATTTAGAGTTGAATGCATTTTTAAAATTTGGTTGTAGATCAAGTAGTATTATTAAATTACATATGATATTTAAGTCATCAACAATGCATTTTTAGGAGGGTATTGCCGAATGGAACTCTGCGATTGTTGGCCAATTTATTGGTGCTGCTCCAAATTTTGAATCGATGCAGCGGATTATTAACTCGCTTTGGGGGAAATCTTCGCCAGTAAAGGTAAGCTTAGCTGGTTCGAATCTTTATGTTTTCTCATTCATGAACGCTTCTGTTAGGGAGTGGGTGCTTGAGAATGGACCTTGGCATGTCCAGAATAAACCTCTGGTGCTAAGGAAATGGGAACCTTATATGCAGAAACTTGATTTTGATCTCTATGTTATGCCTGTTTGGTTCCATCTTTATAACGTCCTGTTGGAATTATACTCTAGGAAAGGTCTCAGTTACATTTCCAGTGCTTTAGGGAATCCACTGTATATGGATTCCATTACTGCTTCTAGGGAGAGACTGGAATATGCGAAGGTGTGTGTGGAGATCAATGCGGGGTCCGAGATTCCTGAAGAGGTAAATGTTGCCCTTAAGAATGGATCATTGGCTACTATAAAGGTCTTTGTTTCGTGGTTACCAAAATCTTGCTCCTGTTGTAGAACTTTTGGGCACTTGGCAAATAGGTGTGTTGTGTCTCAGAAGGTGAAGCACGAGGTTAAAGTTTGGAGGGAAAAGGGCATCAGCTCTTCCGAGCTCTGTGATAAGGGAAAGATGGATTCAATTGTTATTCAGAGTTTCTCTCCTGTGCTTTCCGATTTGCCTTTGGGCTCCTCAAGTAATGTTAGCTCTGCTCTTGGTGCTGGCGTTTCAAACCATGAGTTGTTGGTTGGTAATGCTGTGGAAACCAATGTTTCAGCCTTACAAGAGTTGCCTACTATTTCTCACCTTGTAGTTGTTGATGGCAGTATTGGGGTGGATGATTCTAATAAGGTAGAGTCTGCTTCTGTAGTGTGCAAGGAGGATCCAAAGATTGCATATGAGGGAGAATGAGTGGTGGCTGGTTCTGTTGGCCTTGATCACACTCTTAGCTCCTCCTTAGTTGAGGAAGTGGCTCTTAAGGTATTACAGGAGGATACATGTTCTGTGGGGGATTTCCCTACCTTAAAAGATTCTATGGCTTCAAATAAGAAGGCTAGAGGGAGGAAGAAAGGTAATACTGGTTCTTCTAGTAAATTTGAATCGCTAGCTGAGGGAGGTGTGCTTGATGGTCCGAGGAAGGCTCGGGTGGCCTCCTTAGGAGTTGCTGCTTTGCTTAACCAAATTAAGTCTAAAAAGAGGGATCTTGTGGATAAAGCAAAAATTAGTGGTAATGTGGGGACTGGAAGTGGTGTAGGTCCTGCTGCAAACTGATGATAGTGAGTTTTTGGAATATAAGAGGGATTAATAACCCTCTTAAGCAACATAAGGTGTTTAAAAGGCTAGTGGATTTGGGAGTTGATGTCGTTTGTCTCTTGGAAACCCGTATTAGAAGAATTAATTCTATGAAGTTTTACTCAGCTTACTCTGATGATTGGTATTTGGCAGGTAATTCTGATTTTGCGGAGGGGGGCATAATTTGGATTCTATGGAGGAAACAATGGTCCTTCTCTATTTTGAGTGCTAGTGATCAGTCTCTCTCCATTGCTGGCAATATCAATGGCTGTAGGACACTAATAACTGCTGTTTATGGCAGTAATAGTGGGATTGGCAGGAGAGGTTTATGGGATCATTTGAGGAGTTTGGAAAGCTTGGTTGGTTCTTCCCCCTGGGTGGTTGGAGGGGATTTTAATGTTGTTCTTAGTGTAGATGAGAGCTCTGATTTTGAGTCCTTGGGTGTGCACAACTCCTCTGATATGGAAGATTTTCAAGACTGTTTAGGAGATTTAGACCTGTTGGACCATCCTTTCCTTGGTCCCACTTTCACCTGGTCTAATAGGCAAGATGAGGGTTTTCTTGCTCGCAAGCTTGACAGGATTTTGGTTAATCCTGAATGGCTAACTGCTCATCCCGATTCTTTTGCTGAATTCAAGGCACAGGGTGCTTCAGATCATTGCCTTGGTATGATCTGGACACAGAATGATGCTTTGGCTAGGAGGCCTAAGCCTTTCAAGTTTTTTAACTGCTGGACTTCAAATGTTGGTTTTATGGGAGTTGTTAAGCTTTCTTGGTTGGAGCAGTGCGCGGGCAATCCTATGCAAAGGCTGTTTTCTAAATTGAAAAGACTTAAGCCTAGATTGAAGGAGCTAAATAAGGAGCATTTCTCTGACATTTCCAGCAAGGTGCTTAATAAAAGAGCAGAACTGGAGAGGATTCAACTGCTTAATCTCAGCTGCACTGATCAAAGAAGTATTGAGGAAGAGAGAAATATTCATGCTGAGCTGGTTGATTTGGAGATTGCTGAGTCTGAATTTTATAGGCAAATTGCAAAGGTGCACTGGTTAAGAGAGGGGGATCTTAACACTAAATTTTTCCATCAAAGGGTTGAGTCTAACAAGAAGAGGAATACTATCAAGGTTTTATTGTCTGGAAGTGGTCAGTATCTAGATTCATTTGATGATATAGCGAATGAGTTAGTGAACTTCTTCACTAACCTTATTGGGACTACTGATCCAATGGTAGAAAATTTTCCTGTGGAGTGGCTCAAGGACTTATTGAACTACTCTCTGCCAGAAGGTGCTGGTGATATGCTCATCAAGGAGGTGGATGACAAGGAAATAAAAGAGGCTTTGTTTAGGCACGGTAATGGCAAGAGCCCTGGCCCTAATGGTTTCTCCTCTTGGTTCTTTAAAGCAGCTTGGGATGTGGTTGGAAATGATTTTTTAGCTGCAGTAAGGTATTTCTTCCACTCTTCATCTCTGCTGCCAGCTTTCAATGCTACCTCTATTATCTTAGTCCCTAAGTCTTTGAATGCTTGCATGGCAAAGGATTTTAGGCCAATTTCTTGTTGCTCTGTGGTATACAAAACAATTACTAGGATTATCACTACTAGGTTAGCTCTTATCTTTCCTAGTATGATTTCCCCTAGTCAATATGCTTTTGTTAAAGGTAGGAATATTGTTGACAATACCTTGCTAGCCCAGGAGATACTTAAAGGCTATTCTAGGAAAAGTCTCTCCCCTAGATGTGCCATAAAGATTGACTTACAGAAAGCATTTTATTCTGTAAATTGGGAGTTCCTAATGACCGTGCTTGAGGCTATGGGCTTACCTGGGAAGTTTTATGGTTGAATAAAAGCTTGTGTCACTACTCCTCAGTTTTCTGTCTCTTTAAATGGTAGTTTAGTGGGATTCTTTAAGGGTGCTAGAGGAGTTAGACAAGGGGATCCTCTATCCCCTTATCTTTTTGTACTGGTTATGAATGTCTTCTCCTCTATACTGGATGTTGCTGCCAAAAGAGGTGTCTTTAAATACCACCCTAAGTGCAAGAGGATCTCCCTCACACACCTTTGCTTTGCTGATGACTTGCTAATTTTTTGCCATGGATCTTTTGATTCTGTGATGGGTGTTCTTAGCACATTAGAGACTTTCTACAAGCTTTCTGGCCTTAGACTCAATGCTATGAAAACTGAGCTTTATGTTTGTGGTGTATCTGACCTTGTCCTTGGGCAAATCAAGGCTGGAACAGGCTTTAGAGTTGGTAATCTCCCTGTTAGGTACCTTGGTGTACCCTTGGTTACCAGGAAGCTTACTAGTAAAGATTGTACTGCTTTGGTAACTAAAATTAAGGAAAAATTGAGTAAATGGGCCAATAAGAGGCTGAGCTTTGGGGGTAGATTGCAGCTCATTAAATATGTTATATTTAGTATTTTTAGCTATTGGAGTAGACATCTTATCTTGCCTAAGGGAGTCATAAGGGATGTTGAGAAATTGAGCATGAGGTTCTTTTGGAAAGGGAGTGATTCCTCAGCTAGAGGGGCTCGGGTGAGCTGGAAACATATATGCTTATTAAAATCTGAGGGAGGCTTGGGTTTAAGGAGCTTGACAGATTGGAGCAAAGCATGTTGCTTACTGCTGATTAAGAAGATTTTGGCGGGGGAAGGTTCCATTTGGATTGCTTGGGTGAACTCTTATTGCTTTAGATCAGTGGATTTTTGGCATGCTGATTACATGGCTCACTTTAGCTGGATCTTAGCTAAAATGTTTAAGCTGAGGAGTGAAGCTAACAGTCTGTTATGTTCTATTAGTAGCTGGTCTCAAGTTAATGCTCGGTGGATTTAGGATAATATTCGCTGTAGAGGTGAGAAGGTTAGTTGTCATCGGCTTGTATGGTTTCCTGGCCATATTCCAAAATTTTCAATGATATCTTGGATGGCAATGTTAGACAGATTGTCAACCAAAGACAGGCTTGCAAGGTTTGGTATAGCTGTTGATAGTGGTTGTGGTTTGTGCAGATCTGGTTTTGAGTCTCGTGATCACATTTTTTCTGATTGTGCCTATGCTGTGGGAGTTTGGCATGCCATCTTGCATGCTTGTGCACTTAATCTGGGGCCTTTATGCTGGAATGACCTTGTATGCTGGTTGCTGCTGAACCTTAAAGGGAAGTCTCTATTGGTTCATATCCTTAAGCTGGCCTGGTCTGGGTTCATTTATTTCATCTGGGAGGAGCGTAACCACGGGCTATTTAGAGGTAAGACTCGCTCGATCGATACCATTGTAAGTAGAATTAAAGAAGCTGTAAGTATTAAAATGTATGGATGCCACATGAATAGGCTAGATGTAGTAAATAGACAGTTGTGTATAGATTGGGGTTTGATGTAATGGGTTGATGGGTTATGGTTGTTGCAGCTAGTCTGCATTCTTTGGATGAATAAAAATTTTACTTATCCAAAAAAAACAATGCATTTTTAAAATTTGGTTGTAGATTAAGTAGTATTATTAAATTACATATGATATTAAAGTGGGTTATGTTGATGGAGTTGAGTTAGGTTGATATTATTATTTGAGAAAGAATATAAGGTTTTAGATCAGTGGTGTAAATTTTTGATAAATTATAGATATTATAAAAATTATATATATAAAATTAATTTTTTTTTTAAAAAATATTTAAATTATATTAAAATTTAAAATTTTTAAGATGTGTGACTGTGTCAACACCCTTGATCTATCTTTCATTATTATTGATATAATATGTGGTACATACCTAATTAGAATGATTCAAGAAAAGAAAGCATGTGGGGGTATATAGTGGCGTTCACGTGGTTGGTCCACATAATTAGGACTCCCATCTTCTATTTTGGCCTTCCCCTTAAGGCTTATGCCCCAAATGTTTGAGCTGGCAACCCCCACAATCATAGTTTTCTTCTTAACTTCCGATTCATAAGGATTTGCTTTGTCTAATTCAGATAGATTCGAGTAACCTATTTAATTTTAATTGGTGAGTCTTTCAACAAAGATTTTTTTTTATATATATAGAGACTCGATTCAAAACATACTTAAGTAATATCAAGTTATTTATCATTTTAACCAATATTATTAATCACAATCATTGCTTGTCACTTTACCACTCCCCAACCATATCAAAATTCAGCAGAAAATTATCATTCTAGTCGCTAAACTTTTAAAATTATAAATTGCTCATCAATTTTATCAAATTGCTGCCTTGTTATGATACACCGTAAAAGTTCTCTAGACCATTTTATAATATTCTAATTTAATTATTATTTTATAATCATTTAAAAATGTAGTGATTATTTTATAATTTAGAAAAGACATTAAGAAAATTAATTATTTAAAGATAATTGAATGACTTGAGTGTGCTTTGCTTAAACTATATTTAAATTCCCTTATTCTGCTATAAGTTTCACTAATGTTGATGAGAATCAACTACTCGGCGCATGGACCATTTTATGCATGTTGTACTTTGTACCATTTTCGATTTCTTTCTTAGGTATTTTCATCAAACCTCTAACGGGGTAATAATTAATACCAATTATAAATTTTTAGAATTATGTTTAATTATAATATTTATAGTTTTTTTAAATATTTAAATACATATAATTTAGTTTTAAAAAATAAAATACATTATTTTTAGTTTTAAATATTTATAAAACTATTTGATTTGCATTAGTTGAGTTGATGAATCACACGTTATTATTTAATTATGATATTTATAAAATTACTGTACGAATTGATTCTAATTTATCATATTTTTCTAATTATGTAAGATATACACACTCATGCGCGCGAGCGCGCACACACACACACATATATATATATATATATATATTATTTTTTATGTTACAATGTTATTTAATAAATCAAATAACATCTAAAGTTATAAAATTTATTTAATTAAAGAAGGGGTTTTTAGGATAAAACACTTATTGGAGTGCAAATAATTGATGAGAATAAAACATTTATAAAAACTTATAAGAAAAGAAATCAAATTGAATAAAAAACAAAGTTGAGAGACTAAATTATAAAAAGATAAAATTTATTGTTAAAAATAAGAATTCAAGTTACATATATATTCTATTCTGGTAGAGGAGCATACGATTCAAATTTAGTAAAAAAAATTTGACTTAAAACGAAGGAGAATTTAGGTGAGGACAAAATTAGGAGTGAGTATTCCATCAAGTCGAGTTCAATGGAGTTAATTTTTCTCGAGTTACTCAATTCGATGAATCATAATTTATCGTTTACTTATATTTTAAAAATATTAAGTTCAATGTACACGTGACAACAATTTTTAATTTTATTAGTGAAACAAATAAATAAATAAATAAATATATTGTGTTTGTCTATAATGTACTTTTTATAAGAAATCATTCAAAAAGAATATTTGATATATTTTGAGTTGGTTCTTTTATCTTCATTAATGCTCGCATTAATTTTGTACATGTTGTGTTTAAATTGTGATAATAATCTGTTATTATTATGTTATATTATTTATTAGTATGGATGATATTTAGTTTTGATAGTCGATAGTAATAGTTGTTTACATATTTCATTTTCTCATATGATTTGATTAATTTTCTGAACACTTTATTCATATAATTTTATTTTATGAAAATAATTATGTTTTAAGAAAAAGAAATATTCTGCATAATATATCGAATGGAATAAGAAAAGGACACGTCATCCGTAAAAAAGATTGTTCTCAGCGGATAGTTATTGCTAAAATGAGAAAAATGAAACCATTTTGTTGGAGGAAAGCACACGCCAATTTTACAAAAGCTTGTGGGCTAAGGGCTACGTTTAAAATTTTATAATTACGAATATGGTGTTTTTCATTCGTTTTCCTGTTATATATTATTGCAATTAGCGGAAGGATATGATATAATCCAGATCCCATTATGGTTAAGGAGAATTATTCAATCCTCCATTATACTTTATAGCTGGCACTTCATGCCTTAGGCCCACCATAGTGCACTAAACGAAACCTCGATTTGCAGTTCTTATATTCCCCCGGCCATTGGCCGTTTTAGATTTTCAGGAGATATAGTTCCACACCTGAAAAGGGTTGATGGAGACGGACGCTGCTTGCTTCTTTAAGTTTCAAGGAGCTGTGGATCAAAGGGTATTGGAAGAAAAGTATACGGGCTTTGAACTCCCTACTCAGTACGGGTTGTAAAAGACATTTCTCGGCCCATTTTATCTAATTAGGATTTACATACGATTCTTTTGCTGGCAGCATTATTCGACATGAGTTGATTCAAGTGGTAAACAGCTTGATATCATTTAACCAAAGTTTTGAATTTTAGTCTTTGTGTATATAAAAAATCTATGTCATTGAATTGGGAGGGGAAAACCATTATTCGAGTTGGTAAGATTGTATCAAAACACGTGCGTTGCTAAATGTTGGGTACCACTTGTCGCACAAGAAGACAAACATTTTGTTTTCCACGTTTTTTTTAATCAAACCGGATCAGCAGCACTGCACTTTTCTTTTGAACCGCTTTCACTCACAGCAAAAATTTCTTTGGTTTACCAGAAACTGAGAAAACATAATAATCTTGAGGACGATGGTTTCATGCAATCAAAGATTTGAGGCCACATGGTCTAGGAACTTATCAGCGCGTTCCAAGGGACTTGTCTAATTTCGATATAAATAAATATCCAATGCATGTTACCATTATTCTGGCCATTGACACCAGGGATTCACGACTACTTAATCCATCCTCCAAAACCATAATAAAACAACATTGGAAGCTCCAAACATACGGAAAGACTGTAAGATTCAAACAAGATTTTAGTGATAAAACTTTCCTCTTTATTTGAGCAAATCAAATAAAACAAACATATTACTGATGATCATATCCATTCATTAGTAAATGGAAGATTCAAATTCAATGCAGTACCTCTTCCATGCCTATAAGAGAGTGCCTAGTAAGATTTTAATCACCGTACATACAAACTACTGCTTTCGATGTATTTATAAAAGAGTCTGGGAAATCTAGCTTCCATAAGTAATGTTCTTTCGCATCCCCACCCCAGATAGAAACATAAGCCTAGCTTCTATCTCTGTGATCTATATTGCTTAACAAATGAGACAAACAATTCCTTGCTTCTGACATAACTAAACGTAAAAAAGAGACATCAACACAATATTTCAGACTAACAAAGGGAAAGTATGGGCAAAAAGAATCACTTATGAATTGGCAAGTCGAGCAAATGGAGAAACAGGCACCATCCAACTGAACAAAAGATACTAAAAACAATAAGGGATTCCAGAGTGTACATAAGAAAAATTCTGGGAGTATACAGTTCATCAATTTGTAATGATCAATGTAATCAGTACATCAGCCAACATCTAAACATAACCCACCTCCAGAACTTATTTCCTCCCTTGAAGACAATTCCAAGAAAATTTAAGGAAGAAGGAACCCATATGACTAGCTGTGTGTTCTTAAAAAAAAATTCAGAAAACTCTAATGGCAACCTACCAATGTGTTGGTACTTCAAATTATTAAACATACCCCGTGCTACATGACGCCAGCCTTTGCAAGTTCTCATGTCACTGAAGACGCAAATTTAATGGAAGAAATTTTGAATGAGGTTTGGAAATGGAATCAAAACTCAAGACATCCTACCTGTAAGATGTTCTATTGAATCTCGAGTTATCTGAAACTCTTCCCCAACATCTCCCAGTCGATAGGGAAAAGATGTAAAAAAAAGAGAGGGGAAATTACCATTAGTAAAAATTATGTTGAAGAAAAAAGCAACCATGCAAACCCTGGTGGCAGTACAATAGCGCTCAACTGCACAAGATGCCACCACAATCCATCTCTTAGCATCCCATCACAGCACAATTATACACAAAGTTACCCAACTGCTTTCTGGCAAGCAAGTTCCATTCTGGAGGCCCTTCGCTGGGAACCCAAGAATTGAGCTCAATAAAACCTTCACCCAAAGCCCTAGGTCCACCAATCACTATGAGGCGATCTCCACATGCTCTGAACGCAAGACCCCAACCGTTCATTGAAACTGCCCGTTCAGGCAATCTTCCAATAGTCAACCATGAGTTTGCTTCCTTATCATACTTCTTAACCTCCATGTCAGCATGATCAGCAGCATACAGTTCATTATTAACTACTGCAACCAGAGGGGGTGCCACAGCTGCTGCAGGCATCTCTGCCGCAACTCCACTTCTTCCTGGAGACATGTTAGGAATTTCAGTCCACTTTTTGTTCTCTAAATCATACTCCTCGCCATAAGTGAGAACCCGTGCATCCTTCCCACCAATTCCTCCGATCACATAAAATTTCTTATCCATAAATACCCCGCTACACATCTTCCTTGGCTTATTCATGCTTGGCAAAGTCTCCCATTTCTGAGTCTCAGAATTGTACATTTCTGCAGAGCTTAGGATATTACCCTGAGAATCACAACCGCCGGCTAAAATTGCAATCTCTCCTAGACTAGCTGATCCAAACAACCACCTTGGAGCATTCATACTGGTCCCAGAAGTCCATGAATTTGTTAAAATACTATATCTATATATAACCTGAGAAGTTACCTCCTTCCCAAAAACAAGCAACTCAGTTCCCACAGCCAGTGATTCCTTATCTGAAAAAATGAAACATTCATTGTGAGGCATCCTTGGCAGATGCATCCACATATGTCTAATAGGATCAAATGCTTCCCATTGAGGGAGGTGACAAGAAAAGTAAACCCAATGCTCAACAACACCTTTCTGTCTCCTCAACTTATAGATCTCTCCTCTCCTGATTAAGGAACGAAAACTTCGATTCAACATGGCAATGGAACCATAATCAGACCTCGAGCACTTAATCAGACAACTGATTGAGTTATCTCGCCCAATTGGTTGGATTAATGCATCCATGTCGGATGAAGAATCCCCAGCATGTCTGTGGTGACCATCCCCTGGAGAATCAGGGAAGTCGTAATGATCATTATCTCGCCCAATCGGTTGGATTAATGCATCCAAGTCAGATGAAGAATCCTCAGCATGTCCGTGGAGAAACTCCTCCTCAGGAGAATCAGAGATGTCATTATTATCATTACCACCATCTTCCTCAGCTTGCTCCTCCAGCGACTCTTCCACGGAATCTGACAGGATGTCATTGTCTGATCGGTTACCCAAGTCCGGTTTGCCTAGACCAATGGGGCAGTGGTGGATAAGTGAAGAATCCATATCCGAGGAAGAACTGGATCTCTTACCATCACCATCGGATTGGTCAGGCGAATCTGGCAAGACAAGGTCGTCTGAGTTTTGTGGGGAAGAAGTGTTATTATTATTATCGTCACTAGAGGAATCATCGGAAGAGAGCTTAGACAACTTGGTTTCCGGACAACCATCGGAATCGGTGAATTCTCTTGGGCGCTTTCCATGGTACATGTAAGCCCACTTTCCTCCTCGTTGACAAGAACTGGCAAACACTAAACAGGACTTGCAGCACCGGTTATCCAACATGACTCTTTTGCCCCTCTCCCGACTTCGGACGGGAAAACCCCAAAACAGCAATGGGAATTTTCAAATCACTGTAACAACCACAGGTTCTATTTCCCCCCCGAAATAAACGCTGTCAACATGAACAAATTCTTCCTATTCGAGTAAACAGGGAGAAAAAGAAAAAGAACAGTTTCAGTATAAATTTCAAAACGATAAAACAAAGCAAACAGGAGTTTAATACAGTAAATTAAAGATCCAAATTCAGGTTTATAAAAAAAATATTGTCTATGTTCGGTTATGAAAAAAAAATAAAAAGCAAAAAGCAATAATTAAAATATGCAAATTTAGTTAAAACAAGAAAAAACCGAATTCACGATCAAACAGAGGTTAAGAAATATAAGTACCAGATCCCAGAATTTCATTGAACACAAACAAGAACAAAATTACAGACAGATTCAAACGAAGAGACGAAAAAATAGCTACTCAGATCTGTTTATAATTTCATCACATTAATCAGGATATAAACACAAAGCGATAAATAAAATAGAAACGTAAAAATGAATAACAACACAAGCAAAGAAGTGACGGATTAAGAAAAAGGAAAAGGAATAATAATAATAACGCCAATGTTGCGAGGAATTTACTGATTGGATAAGGAGAAAATTCACAAGGAAATAAGAATTGAAATGAACCTCTTTTTGTCAAAAAAAAAAATATTTCACTATCTCACACACTCTTTTTTTCCACTTGTTGTTCCTTTGATTTGCTGTTGCTGTTCTTCGCGTTATCGAGTTTCTTCGGGTTTCTCTATAGGCTGTAAATTTGTCCTTTGGATTTTGTCTGCAAATCAGAGCGAGGGAGCTTTGGCTTTGCGAGCAAAATCTAAAATGTCCGCTTCATCTCTCTTAAAACTTGATCTCTCCCCAAACAAAGTAAATAAACATTTGAATTTTTATTATTTATTTATCGTTTTGTTTGTTTATGGAGACGAATTATATAAGAAATATAATGGTTTTAATGATTTTTATACTAATATAATTATTAGTAAAAAATGATTTTTATTAGCTTCAATTATTCAACGAAAAAATCATTAGAAAAAAGAAAAACAAGAGCAAAATTTTGCTGTAATAGTTTCTGAGTCAGCTCTTGTAGTTTTATATCAACTTTCTACAGCACCAACGAGGCTGGTTTCTAGTGGTCCCCACCGACTTTTCCTTAAAGAACATATAATTTTTTTTCTCTAATATTCACATCGCACGGTCCAATAAATATTTTAATAATTGAGAGTTTTTAAGTCAAGATAATATACTAAATAATTTAACTTTAAGTTTTATAGGTTTTTATGTTTATCCCTCCGTCCAATAAATATTTTAATAATTTTGGTTTGATAGTGTACAAATTTTGTTCCTACCAAGTGCGGGCAAAGGCGATTCGGCAGCAATGAAATGACTCACTTGCCCACGGAATTCAAGGGTATCGCCATTTATTGGACCTTTTAATGAAGGTTGGTTTCGGGATTATATTCTTTACAAGGATATTATAATACGAGATTTTGGATGGCTGTTTTTTGCGTGTACGACTTGACGGCGTCATCCAGGATACATTAAAATGTATTTAATAAATTTGATTTAGCGGTATCTATTATGTTGACAACTAATAATGTTTTAGGTAGAAAATATGAAAAACTATTAAAAAATTTGGTAACCGGTAAACTTTGGTTATCGGTAAGTATCTATCATTTTTATAAAAGTGTCCATACGTTTAACATATCAAGTAAATTTTACCAGTTTTGTCATAATGAATCTGGTTTTGTCATATTTTTACCTGTTATATTGTAAATTATCTATCCTTTTTATAAAAGTGTCCATACTTATTTCACTGTGAAAATATATTTATTATTATCTTTAGTTAATATTGTTAAATTTAAAATCTAAATAATATTTTATAAAATATCAAAACAATCAAATAATTTTTTGTGTAAATGAAATTATTAAATTAATATTGTAGGTGGAAAACATGAAACACTATTAAAAAATTGAAACATAAATTACATAACTTTCAAAAAAGTATATATCATTTTTATAAAAGTGTCCATACTTATTTCACTGTTGAAAACATATTTATTATTATATTTGGTTAATATTGTTAAATTTAAATTCTAAATAATATTTTATAAAATATCAAAACAATCAAATATAATTTTGTGTAAATTAAATTATTAAATTAATATTGTAGGTGGAAAACATGAAACACTATTAAATAAATTGAAACATAAATTACATAACTTTAAAAGCAGTTTTAAATCCTAAAAAGTGTCGATACTTTTAAAAAATATATCGATCCAAAACGATATACCAGGTAAAAATATGATAAAACCGGTAACAAAATGATAAAACCGGTAAATTTAAAAGTGTCGATACGTTATATAAGGATCAACAGTTTGTGAATTTAAAAGAGAAGCAGTTATAGCGCCTATAATGTGTCGATACTTTAAAAAAATATATCGATCCACAACGATATAACAGGTAAAAATATGATAAAACCGGTATCAAAATGATAAAACCGGTAAAATGATACCGGATATATTGAAAGTGTCGACACTTTCGTAAGTACGTGTAATAAATTATCGACACTTTCAAAGAAATAGGTAATTATCCTTTCGAAAGTATCGACACCTGACATAAAAGTATCGACACTTTTGTATTTGTATCGATTAAATATAAATAACATATCCGATGAAAATATAAAGGCCATAGCTAAATATCCTCTGAAAAAAGATAGAACGGACGAGTTTTTGAAATCGAAGAGTAATTGTTGCTGCATTTCAGAAGGCGTTTCTAAAGCGAAGTTTGTTTGTTTGTTGCTGCAGTCGAATCGAAAAGTATGTTGTCGAAACCCTAATTTTTTATTATTACAGTAATCGCGATAGGGTTTTTTATGTGTTGTTTGGGGTTTTGGAGTAAGGAAGCATTTGGGACCGATTGCAGGTAGAAATAGATATTCAAGGAAAAATAAATGTCGATACTTTTATTAAATATTATAGGTAGAAAATGATATTATAGGTTGTATAAATGTGCCGACACATTTTGGTGTGGCCATTCAAATTCTTTTGAAGAAAACCGTTTTACCACAAGAGTAGTTATCTATATTTGTATATTGAAAAGTGTATGTAACAAAATAATTTGATTTGCGTAAACTGATATATGAAGGAAAAATGGAGTCAATGGGTTGGAAAATTGTTGGTGGAGCAGATGACTTTGAAATTGAGGCCGAGACTCGAAAGCAACCAAAGGGTGGATATATGTACTTCTAGTAAGTATCAATGTCTTTTTGTTATTATTGTTGAAATGGTAATTGGATTAAAGTATCGATAAACTTTAAATTGATTACAAATTTTAAATGTTAACAGTATGGCCGAATGCAAAAGGATGAAGGGAGATGGCACACAGAGCGTTCGGTATGTAAAATGAAATTGACATTGAGTAGTATTAGTATTTAATGTTAATGTATTGATTAAGAAACGTTTATGTTTAATATTAGGTGAAAAAAGATGTGAGGTCCAAATGGAATTCAATGAGTGATGCTGAAAAGGAACCTTACATCACACAGTCAAGGAATGATAGTAAAGAATACAAAGAACGGAGGAAAGCACGTGAAAATAAGGTATTCATTAAACTTGTAAATACGTTGATACAAAATATATAAGAACTATAACATTATATATTGTTAAAAAATGTAGGAAGTGTCGACAAGGTGCAGCATTAAAAGGGTGAATTTATTAATTAAACACCTTAAGGAGAAGGGTCAGTTGAATGTGCTGGGAGAAATAGGTTTTGGATCGTTGATCGGAGTAAGGGATCGACCTATTCGGAGGGAATTGTGTCGATCCTTGATGGCACAATTTGACGTCAGTCAATGTATGGCTAAGTATGGTGATTATTCATTCCCTCTGGGGGTATCGACTGCTGCAGCCGTATTGGGGGTACAAAACAAAGGCAAAAGTGTTATAGAAGTCTGTAGGAGTAAGAACTGGAAAGCACTTGCCTCCAAATATGGTTTGAATCATAAGGTGACATATACTGAAGTTGAAGAGGATATCAAAAGTGGATCTTACTTGGGGGATGAGCTGAAGGCCCGAGTTCTATTGTACCTTGTCGGGATATTTCTTTGTCCAACGGGTGATACGTCAACGAACAAGGAATATATGAAGCTCATTTGCGATGAAGGCTTGAAGGGTGAATTCAATTGGGCTGAATATATCCATTCGAGATTGATTGAATCAATAATCACCTTTAAAAAGGGCAGCCAGAGATACCTCAAAGGGTGCATAGCTATCTTAGAGGTAAATGAGTTGAATCACTTTTTTGTGTTTTTATATAAAAATATAAATTTTATTATAAATGCAGGTTGCACTGTTCGATTTTTGGTCGGGCTGTGAGGCAGTGCCGGCTTATGAAAGAACCGGAGTGGCACGCATCCGTGCATGGGGGAAGGAAGAGGTGGTTAGAGTGATGGTGAAGTTGAAGTTGGATAGAGAGAAGAAGCAAGAAATGGTAATAAATGTAATTAAATAATATTAAGAATATAATCAATGTCTTAATATTGTAATTTAATTTTTTGAAGGTTATTGGCAAGGATGTAGAGGAGGCAGTGGAGGCAGTGGAGGCAGAGGAGAAGAAAGGAGGGATGGTTGTATTGGGGGATGAAGGTGAGTGGGACGACGGTGAAGCAAAACAGAGTAACTTCGACATTTTGATGTCTGAATTGGCTGATATCAAAAAAATCCAATTTGAAATCATGCAAAGACAATCAAGAGTCGAAGAGAAACTTGATCAAGTCGTAGAGAAACTCGAGAGAGTCGAAGATACACTCGAGAGGAATAAGGGGGTAGTGGAAGGAAAAATAGATGGAGTGGTGAAAGAAGTAGAGGTGTTGAGGGGTGAAGTGGTGAAAGAAGTTGGGGTGTTAAAGGGTGATATTAAGATGGTGACGGGAGAAAAATTTGAGGGAGTGGTGAAGGAGGTTGTTGATTTGAGGAGTGAACTTACGGGGATGAAGGGGGTGGTTGATAAATACTCGGATGAAGGAGCTCAATTGAAGGGTGAAATAAAAGATATGAAGAGCTATGTAGAAAAAAAGTACGATGAACTGAAAAGATATGAAGAAGAAAAGAGGGAGGAGGAAGAAGAAGAGATGGAAGAAATGAGGAGGAAGGAAGTCGATGTCATGTATACACCGGAGAGTGTTATAGCAGCAGTTTTGGATTCGGAATGTCCTGCACCCCAGAAGAAGAAGCAGAAGGTAAGTTTAATAAAAGAATACTTAATTTGATTTTTATTATGTTGTTGTGACAAAATTTGTATGCAAAATTGTAGGTTGAAAAAGCGGATATTCCAACCGGAATTGATGACATCGAAGCTGCAATTTGTGATTATTTATGGAATAGCGAGTTAGAATCGAGGTAAGTGAAATATATTGTTTTGTGAGTGATATTTAAATATTTCATGACAAGATATTAATCCTAATGATTCATACAGATATTCTGTAATATCAATGGGAAATCAATTCGCTACTGTATACGACGTTGCAACGTTGAAGCCTACGGAATGGGTTGGCGGTGTGGTAAGTAGAAAGTAGAAAATAAATAAAACTTATTGAATATGTTCTGATTGTGTAATTAATTTTGTTAGGTTATCGATTTGCTCGCCTGGACCATATGCTACGATTCTCAAAAGTCACACCGGAGGATTGGCTACCTTCCATACCTCTTAGTGGTGAGTTAAATTAATAAATATTGAAAAGTAGTGTTATAGACGGTAAATTAATAATGTTTGTTGCGTAATTACAGCAACAGGCGTTTGAAGCCAACAACAAAGAAAGTGTTG